CCATTCAACAACTACTCCTCGTTCAACAAATAAGGCTGCATATTGCCTACCTTGGCCATTATTCTAGGCACAAGAGACCCAGAGAGGACAAGAGCGAGTCCCACCTTCGAGAACTCACAACGAGGAAGGCAAGACAAGGGCATCCCTGTTGACCCCAGTGTGCCAAGTATCACAGAGGTGGAGGGATGAACCTCTGGAACTCAGACTTCAGACCCTGGGGAGGCGTGGCAGTGTGTGCACCTAGCGACAGCGAGAAGAAATGAAAAAGTGGAAATGAGAGACGATGAGCTCATGACAAACCCTGAGGTCCAGAACCAGGGCACTAAGTGTGTAGCCGGGAAAGAGGAAACAACTCAAAAGTCCCACCCAAAAAGTAGAATCAACACTATCTGGGGTTAACTGAAGGCTCAGGGGTAAGGGAGACTCCCCAAGTGTCTGTCTAGAGTGATGGGTAGGTGGTGTGAACGCTTATGACTACTGGAGGTACAGGACAAAGGAGGAAGGAGGCTGGAGTCTGAGTTGCGGTTTGAACTGCTAGGTTGAGCCTGAGCTGCTGGCAGGGCCTGGTACCCGGTAGAGTCAGAAATCACACTTGAAACTTGAGGAAGTTGCCCCAGTAACTATAACACGGCTACATTTTATCACTGTTATTGTAAATATTGAGATTTGAGGAACCAGGTGAGAAACTGAATTCCAGTGGGGTTGAGGGTAGGAGAGAAGCAGAAAGAAAACTGGTCACAACGTGAAAATGATCAAAATACGATCTTGGGTCAGGACATTTAATATTTAGGATTTACTGTGATATGTAGAATTAACAACAGAAATTAGTGCAAGCTAAAAGGACAACTAACTCCTCGTGGGAAGGAGGAAGGCAGGAGTAAAAGCAGGAAAAGGGAAGGTGGTGAGGAAGGGAATGAAGGAAGCAGGGATGCAGGGGGCAACACCAACCAGAAGGAAACGGTTTCTCCGAGTAAAAGCTGAAGTCAAGGGGAAAGTGATCAATGGAAAAATCTGGTTCAATCAAGTAACCTAAGCTTCTCCATAATCTGAAACCAGAAAAATCTTCTGGTTCCCCCTTGCAAGGGATTACTTTTTGTTAAAAAAAAAAAAAGGGGGGATTAGTTCTTCTCAACCTTTTCCATATGCCACGCCAACCACGGCTGGCCTGACAGGGGCAGGGCTTCCGGCTTCAGGGAGGTGGTAGAACATGCTGGGAGTGTAAGGTGCAGAACGAACAGGGACTGAGGAAAATGGGGGGTCTCGAAACTGCCACAGAAGAATGAGGAAAGCAATGGTGTACCCTAACACTAACCTATTAAACACACCGATTACATAACCCTGGTGCCATAGAATGTGTCCATGAAGAGATTCACACCTCCTTCTGTTCCCGTTGATAAAGATGATTCAGACAAGCTCTTCTATCTGGAGGACCTTCCCATATCAGGAACTGCAGAAGGTACTAGAAATATTCTAGAAGCTAGAGAAAGGGGCTGAGCTTTTTAGATAGAGATAGTAAAATGCTTACCATAGGGCAGCAAATTAACATATACATCACACAGTTATCTTCTTACATAGTTACTCATTTGCACGTGTGTGTGTGTGTCGGTGGTGGTGGGGGGGGGAGGCAAGAGCATCTAAAATCTACTTGTTTAGCGAAAACCCCAAATCTGATGTAATACTATTAGCTGAAGCCCTGGTGTTGTACATTACATCCGTAGACTTCTTCATCCTACTTACGTGCTATTTTGTAGCTGTCTAGGTTAGATACGGGTACCTTAATGATGCAGGACAAGTTAAGAGTGAGAAAGGAGTGTGTTTTTTTTTTTTTTTTTTTTGAGAGATTTTCACTGTAGGGCGCGTGCGATCGCCAGACAGACAGAGAGAGACATAGAGACAGAAAGCGAGAAATCACCCCCCAGGGGGGATGGTCACGCCGCAATCCCTTCTCCTCCATTCTCCTCTCAGGGATCTTGGGCACGCACGCACACGCGCCCGGCGTGAGTTTTAAGTCACCGGGTCCGGGACACGAACTGCGGTCGACTACGTGGGAGTCCAGCGACATAGCCATTATGCTAACTGCTGGTTCCCGAGTAGAAAGGAGTGTGTTTTGATGGCCTGCTACCACTCGTCTTCTCAGGTTTTCCTGCCAGTACCTACTCACATTGTCCCACAAACTACACCAGAAGGATTGAGTAAGACAATGAGGCACCAAGCAACATAGTCCCTGTGGCCAAGGTTTTGAAATACAATGAAATCTTGCATGGCATGGTTCAAATTCTTTCCAGGGTAAGAGGAACTTAAATAGAGTTTAAATTAAAGTACCATGCGACCAACACACTTAGAGCTATTAATAGAAGAAAAGAGTCGATACCCCAAGAATGGTGCCGGAGTGAAGTGGAAATGTTATGAGTTTTTATTGCAGACTTGTCAGGCTTATTATGGGACAGTATATTCAATCTAAAAGATGTCTATCAATTACAAAACTATATGCAAAAAGTTTTCAGCATTTGTATACTCGAACTCAAGAGGTACAGAATACATGCCATAGACAGTGCCAAAGAGCCTGTTGGGACCGTCTAAAAGAATATCATTAATTTTTACAGTGTACTTCCATTTCTGGAGCAGTTCCAGCACTGGCTTTCTATAAAAATCATTTCAAGTTTAGAATTATGCTATTTGCTTGCAGCAACATCACAGGAGCAGTAGTGTACCATATGCTGCTACTTAGCAACTTAGTCTATAAGTCCCAAAGCATGTACTGATTTGAAAATTGAACAGGAATTATAATTGTTGAGTGATGCTATGAGGCAAATTGTCTTGGATTACTAAACTATGCAGATGTTTGATGTTATGTAGAAAAAGGAACAAAACTATTTTTTTTTCCTGCAGGATGACTAAAATCTTATTTATGGCTGCCTAAAGGGATAAATTAATTAAAATTCCCTAAAAGAATACCAGGTAATGAATTCTTGAACACACTTTATGACAGTAAACAAAAGGAATGTTAAGTGTAAAATTTCACTAAGGCCATGCAACTTATGTAATTTGTGAAGTGTATTTCCCCCCAGAGTATGCATTATATTACATTAGTCTAATTTTTAAAATAGCACATTCTAAAAACATTTTCCTATATGCTATGTTATTTAAAATACAGTTTGCTTCTGGCTCACAAGCCTACCATATCTTCAAAAAAAGCACAAAAGTATTTGAAGCTGTTTACTCTTTATACATTAATACTGGTATTTAAAACATTCTTAGTAACTCCTGATTGAATTGTTAAGAAAAGTAATGTTAAGTTGTTTGATTTTCATGAGGGCTTAATATTATAAGTTGTACTTGGATTTAAAAATCTAAGGAGCCAGGCTGTTATAATATATATGCTCTCAATTTCCAATCCTTTATCCAAAACTCTTTAAGACAGACATAATGATTCTCTGAAAGGAAGCAGCTGCTTTTTAACAGCAATCATTTATTGAGTTTGTGTTTCTACTGTTTCCAACAAATTCAATTAGCCCTTACACTTCAAAACCCTAAAGGCACCAAAGAGATGATCCCAGGCTGGTTTAATCTAATAGTAATACTAAACTTGTCAGTACGGTTTTGGGATTGATGGCTAGAAGAAAATTAATAGTAACATTCTTCATTTTTTTAATCAAACAGTCCTATTTAGAACTACCTATGGATCTTGGAGGCTTTTTAACAGATTGCATTCTGTTAAGCATGAGTTCTACAGGTAAAACTGAGCCTTCCAAAGGTATTCTTAGAGCGAGCTACTGAGCCAAATGGAAGGAAATGTAGTCAGAATCTTTGAACTTCATGCTGACCTCTGCAGCTGAACGATATGGTGTAGTTTCCAGAATGTCCGCCAGAGAAGGCAGTGATTGTAATGACTTGGAAATGCAAAGTTCATGGAGATGCAGGCTTGTCTGTTTCGAGTTAAGCACGAGACATTGTATTCAGAGTGCTCCCCGAACATGTACATTACATTTAATTCACTGACAACCGCCATGAAGAAAAATAGGCGTTTCAGACTGCCCTTGTTCTCCCTCCTCTCCTAGTTCTCAAACCTATTGTGTTCACGTGAGTATGCAGGCAGTGCCCAATACGATGCTCGAGTTTACACTGCAGTTGCTGATATATGAAACTCTGCGATGACTGTTCCAGAAAAAAACACGTTTTCACATCCAGAATGCACTTGCGTGAACTCTCCCTCGCTTCCATTTATTCACTTATTTATTTTTTGCTTACAATGTTCTTATATTTTATGTTATACTGGCACTCTAGGGCAGTTATAATTTTGCTTTAAATGCCCTCGCTGGATTAAAAGGCCTGGTTGTAAGTATCTAAAAATAAATAGCCAAGCATTTACTTTTATAAATGTAACCATTTACATTCTCATTGGACTTTTGTTGTCACTTCTCATGATTAAATACCTTGTCAACCATTCCCAGTGAAATGGATACAAAGGTGCCCTTGAAAGGTTTCAATCATATCTGCTTTTTGGCCTGAAACCTACTCCTACCCCCAGTCTTCCCCCTGTAGCTCCTGAAAACAGCCTTATGGCGCCTGCTGGCCATGCGATTTGGGTTATGAATGTAACATTTTGTTGCAAATAGCCCTAACCGCTGATAATTAAAGCTATTTGTGACATGTGTAGCTTATAATGATTAACTCGTCTACAGTCAAAAAGCACAAATAACCTGCACCTGTAAAGACTTTATTTCCTAAAGGTAAAACAACTGTTTAGGAAAGATCATGCTGGCAAAACAGCTGCTTGCCGTTCTGGAGAGGAAACAAGGTAGTATCTTTCAACAAATGCCAACTCCGGTGTTTTATCAGCTCTATCTCATTAACTGGGAACAAGGCTTAAATGCTTTGTTTATAAATTATGATTATTCCTGATTGCAGCAGTTACTGATAGTGCTACTCATTTGCAATGCAACTCTTTGAATTTGTTTAATTACAATTTGAAACAAGGCAGAGAAGATTAATTAACCCACCTGGCTGGCTGGCAGATAGTCCTGGCTCGGCTCTGTCATGCTCATATACATGTTCTCACCGTCAAACTGCGAATGAGATAATAGTAAACATTCAGCAATCTCGACTGTGTGTATGTTTTGTTTTGTTTTGTTTTGTTTCACCACCAAACTGGAAAACAGTAGTCATAAAAAAACACTGTGGCTGGGAATATGGAAAATCTGTCATCGCAAGCGAGCCACATCTTCTCTTTGATGTTTCTGTTGTCATCCTTCCTGACCCTGGATGTCAGTGATTTGGAGTAATTAGTCCTCTAGTAATTACAGCAAGCAAGCAAGAAATGAATGGTTTCCTTTCATCTGCAATCTGTTTTAAAACAAAATGGCTCATTTTGCACGCCATGTATACATATTGCAGTTTGGTTGTAATGAAGTATCAAATGAATGGCACGATTTCTAAAAGGAAAGAATAATGGAAAAATACAAGAAGGCACAGCTCAGTGCGTTCCAAGTTTAGCTCTTGAACAAAAGTGCAGAGTTCTCATAATGTACTAAACTGGCTTCACCATTTAGCCCGATGATTAAAAAAAAGTTCACTTCGTAATAATATTTAGGAAGAGCACGTGCCACTCTAACCATGGAGAAGAATGATAATAATAATGAATAGCGATAAAAATATACAAACACAATGATTAAATTTTCCTAGTAAAAAATTTTCAAGACATAACATTCATGTGTTACAAATGCATACAAATTCATACTCAAACATTCGAGTGAGAAATGAAAGGAGAAATTCAAGAGGGCAGCGTAATTACAGATCTATTAAAAAGTTCAGCCACAACAATAACAACAACGAAGTACTTTCTACTATAGTTTCAGGTTTTTCAAAGCAGCAGTCATTCCATTCGGACGTAATCCTCACTTGATCAATGAGAAAAGCATTCCTTTTCTGGTTAAATGGGGACTTTTCGCAAGGTAATAATCAAATGGACAAACACGATCAACTCAAAGAGCTAGATTTGAATATACTTTCATCGTAGACTAATTTTAGACATGGAAATTTGAACATCTGAAAAAAATACTTTTCAAAACAAAATAATGTCATTCTTTCCCCTTACCCCCAAGGGCACATGCTCACATGAGAGAGAGAGAGAGAGAGAGAGAGAGAGAGAGAGAGAGAGAGAGAAAGCAGCTCCCCCCCCCTCCCCAGGGGTCTGATTATGCTGTGATCCTTTTTCCTCCAACTCGCCAATCCATCAGAATCTTGGGTACGTGTGTGTATGCAACCAGCAAGTTTTTCAGGCTGCTGGGAGTGGGACTCAAACCCTGGTCGACCATGTGGGATCTGGCTTTCTCTACCCAGTGCTTAGCTATTATACAACAGGGCCAGGCTTCGATTAAATTTATTTGCTTATTTCATCTCTGAGAGAGACAGAGACAACCTCAAGAATGTCTTCAAGCCAAGATCTACCTCCAGTCTCAGCCAGGCCAGGTCACAGGTATTCACGTACACCCAGCATGGTTGGGGAGGTCGTGGGGTACAAACCTAGATGCTTTCCCATGCAACAAGCACAGTTCCACCACCACTGTGCCACCACCTGGCTCCAGAACAATATTACTAGTAGAGGTGCCAAATACATAGTAAGAGGGAAATACTTATATTCTGCCAAAAAACGGTGCCATATCAAAACAACAACAACAATAAAAACTGTATATTACAGACATATTCCACCAGCGTTAGGCTGCATTAAAAGGTTATACAAACACGAGGGATGTACCAGCAGTGGTGGATACCCTGAAGACTCACATAAACATAAGCTGTTAAAGACCTCCCTGGAACCAGCAGTTAGCGTAATGGCTATGTCGCTGGACTCCCACGTAGTCGACCATAGTTCGAGTCCCCGACCAGGTGGCTTAAACTCACGTCGGGCACGTGTGCATGCGTGCCCAAGATCCCGAGAGGAGAATGGAGGAGAAGGGATTGTGGAGTGGCTATCCTCCCTGGGGGGTGATTTCTCGCTTTCTATCTCTCTGTCTCTCTCTTTCTGGCAAGTACACACACCCTATAGCAAAAAAACTCTCCAAAAAAAAAAAAAAAGACCTCCCTAAAGACACGTACTCACTAGATTAAGACCAAAGAATTGAAGACTTCTTACACCTCACTCTGTAAAGACATAACATTTAAGGTTATGTTAAGAACCTATCTAGACAGATGTGAAACATAACTCTCAGAAAATAACACAACATAGAATAGAAAAACTGGCCCTTTTGGTTGTTTTGTCAATCTGCTCAGGAGTTCTGAATTCAAGTGACTTACCCACATTTGTTTTTCCATTGGTCAGGGAACCCCTTCAACCCCCAGGACAGTCTCGCCTTAGTCAATCACTCATCAACGCCTCACACCTCAAGATCTGACCAAGAACGTCCCTGAGCGTTTCTCCATCCTCACCCACTGTTGGAGTACACTGGTTTGTTTGCAAATGTTTTTAATGTTAAGATGCCAAAGAACCACTTAAAATATGGACAGTTTCTCTGACTATAACAAACTAAACAGAAGTAGTGAAGTGAATCAAATACTCCGCTGCTTGTGCCTGTTCTGTAAATGTGTTACTTTCTATTTCATCCTCTCTAACTCGTTTTCTAAATCTGGTGTCATTCTCGAGCCAACTAAGGCTTTGAAGTTTTGGTTTTAGTCTATCCAAAGTGTACGCTAATTGAGTATATTCAGTGTTGCTGTTTTTGATAAGGACTTTTTCCTCCAAAAGTGCCAATATTTAAGAAATATTAAGTCATGGCTGAAACAGACTTTTTCAATAAAAGGTACGTGGCCATAAGCATTGTAACTATTGGATCACTGGAAAAGTCATGACGTATTTTTGCATAGATAAACAGAAAAATACATTATGACTTTTTCTGACAAACCAATATCTTTCTTTCTTTCTTTCTTTTCTTTCTTTCTTCCTTCCTTCCTTCCTTCCTTCCTTTCCTTCCTTCTCCTTCTCCTTCCTTCCTTCCTTCCCTCCTTCTTTCTTTCTTTCTTTCTTTCTTTCTTTCTTTCTTTCTTTCTCTCTCTCTCTCTCTCTCTCTCTCTCTCTCTCTCTCTCTCTCTTTCTTTCTTTCTTTCTTTCTTTCTTTCTTTCTTTCTTCTTTTTTCTTTGCCTCTTGCCGAGAACTTTTGCTATAGGTCATGTGTGCGGACTGGAGAGACAGAGACAGAAAGCAAGAGACCACCCCTGGGGGATAGCCATGTTGCAATCCCTTCTCTTTCATTCTCTTCTTGGGATTTTTGGGCATGCACACATATGTGCCTGGCATGAGTTTTAAGCAACTGAGTCTAGGACTCAAACCACAGTCAATTAAGTGGGAGTCCAGTGACATAACCATTACACCCTCTGCTGGTCCCCCTAGTATTTTTCTCTGTGACATTAGTATTTAAATCAGCAGACTGGGTAAAGCAGATGGCAGACCCTCCTATGGGTGGACATCATCTAATCAGCTGAAGGCTGTGTATAAAGAGAAAGGATGACCCCACCCCAAGAAAGGGACTTCTTCCTGTGCAACTCTTGAGCTGGGATGTTGGTCTTTTCTGGCCTTAGGACTCAACAGAAGCACTGACTCTGCTTTCTGGCTTTCAGACTGGACCTGCACCCTCCGTTCTCTGGGGTCTCCAGCATCCTGACTGCAGATGGTGGGACTTTTCTCTCTCTGTAACTACGAGTCAATTCCTTACAATAAATCTTCCAACATACATATATGAAGATACATCAAATCTCCCCAAGGTATATTGACAGCAGTACTTCAAATCTCTCTTTGTGTATATAAGAGAGTACTTCGGGAAGTTTATGGAAAAATTAAATTAAAAAAGGAGGATTTGGGCGCAAAAAACTTTCTTGAAATCCATGCATACTTTATTCATAGTGTACATTTTCCATGACCGTTTTTTGAAGACATCTTCGTATACACATCCTGTTGGTTTTGTTTCTCCAGAGAACTCTAATGCCTACGGCTTCTTTTATTACTATCAGGATATTCAGAATTCCCCGCAAAAGCGTATTTCTGGAGGGCCCACATTGTGGGAGTGCATCCATCCCATGCTACTGCTTGCTTTCTAGAGGACAGAGCTGTGCTGGTTTTCTGAGAGTCTCTGGTCTCATTGCCCACCACACCCACGTTCTGTGTTCTAGCACATCCTACATACGATCACATCCTTTTGTCCAGAATGCCTCATCTTCTACTTGTTGAAATGCTTCTAGACTGCTCAGCTCCCCTTCCTGTGGGCTGAGTGTCTCTGGCTTCTGAGCCTCTAGGCAGTTGTCTGTTTCTGGGCAGCTTTTGTGTTTGGGGATGAACTGCCCTGAACTACGAAGTATTAAGAGTGTACAGCATGTATCTGAGTTATCTCTAGTGTCTCCACAGCTCAGGGTCAGAACGTAAGTTCTCAGAAAATGTTTCTAATCATCAAAAATTGAATCATATATGCTCAATTAGATAGATCCACAGTGAAGAAAAGGCAGTAGTAATTCAGAAGTGGAAGGTTTAGCTTGTAGAGAATGGTTCGATGGCTTCTGAAGGGGGTTGACTCAAAGTCTTATAGCGGATTAAAACTGATTGACATTGGAGCAGAAACCCTTAAAAAGAAAAAGATAAGTACTGAAATGGCTAGGACACCACTACTCAAATGTTAGATTCAGTTCTTCCTCAAGATTTCTACTTTACAAAATTTAATTTAATATAAAATAGATAGATTTTTCCAGGAATCAAGAGATCTATCAACAAATAAGTGCATGCCTTCTTCCTGAAGAATTTTGAGTTGTCAAGCAAAGGTACATCCGTATATTAGAGTAAGCCCAGCTGTTCCCCTGTGGCTGAAGGACTGCAGTTAGGCACACTCGTGGGCCCCAGGGAGAAGAGTAAGCCAACATACCAGCAAAGGCTCCCTGCCCATAGATTAATGTCCTCATCATCCTTTCACAGCTTATCCAACCACTCCCACTGCAGGAGCTGAATCTGGGGGTCTCCATAGGCCTCCTGCTGATCCAACAATCTTAGACAGAGTCCGTGTCATAGGCTTAAGGCCAATTGTCATCTAA